GCTACAAGAATCATACAAAACCCAGGAGAGGCAAAGAGAGCAAAAGGCCATCAGTGAAATAGAGAGAAATCCGAAATATTTTTTCTCTTATGCAAAATCAAGATAAAAAACCACATCTAGGATCGGGCCCCTGCGAAAGGGAGATGGAACTTTCACCGATGACAACAAAGAAATGAGCGAGTTACTGAGGAAGCAGTACGACTCTGTTTTCAGTGAGCCATTAAGCGCAATAAAGATTGATAACCCAAATGAATTTTTCATGGATTTGATACCAACATCAAATCATATATCAGACGTTACCCTATCCCCACTGGATTTTGAAGAAGCCATAAACAGTATGCCTATGCACTCTGCACCAGGCCCGGATTCTTGGAACTCCATATTCATCAAGAACTGTAAAAAAAACACTATCGCAGGCCCTCCACATTTTGTGGAGACAAAACCTAGATACTGGCGTTATTCCTGATATACTAAAAACAGCAGAGATAGCACCACTTCATAAAGGAAGAAATAAGGCAGAGGCAAAAAATTACAGACCGATAGCACTAGCATCGCACATTATAAAAAATTTTGAAAGAGTGCTAAGAAGTAAGATCACAAAATACATGGAATCACAGCATCTCCATAACCCTGGACAACATGGTTTCAGAACAGGGCGCTCTTGCCTGTCGCAGTTGCTGGACCACTATGATATGGCATTAGATGCTATAGAAGACAAACAAAACGCTGATGTAATTTACACAGATTTCGCAAAAGCTTTTGATAAATGTGACCATGGCGTTATTGCACATAAAATGCGTTCAAAAGGAATTACCGGAAAAATAGGCAGATGGATCTACAATTTCCTGACCAACAGAACACAATGTGTAATAGTCAACAAAATAAAATCCAGCCCATCAACCGTGAAGAGCTCAGTCCCCCAGGGTACTGTGCTTGCTCCAGTACTTTTTCTCATCCTCATATCGGACATAGACAAGAACACAACCTATAGCACTGTATCATCCTTTGCAGATGACACTAGGATCTTCATGAGAGTAGGCAACATAGAGGATACGGCAAACCTCCAGTCAGATGTAGATCAGGTCTTTCTATGGGCTACAGAAAATAATATGGTGTTTAACGAAGATAAGTTCCAGCTCATGCGCTATGGAAAAAATGAAAATATAAAAACGGAAACCCCGTACAAAACTCAGGCAAATCATAACATAGAACGAAAAGGCAATGTAAAGGATCTGGGTGTACTCATGTCGGAAGACCTTACCTTTAAAGAACACAATAAAGTAGCCGTCACAACTGCAAGAAAAATGACAGGTTGGATAACAAGAACCTTTCACACTAGAGATGCTATACCGATGATGATACTTTCAAAACGCTTGTGCTCTCTAGAGTGGAGTACTGCTGCACAATGACAGGCCCTTACAAAGCTGGAGAAATTGCTGACCTGGAGAGCGTGCAGAGATCCTTTACTGCTAGAATCCACTCAGTAAAACATCTAAACTATTGGGACTGACTAAAGAGCCTAAATTTGTACTCCCTTGAGCGCAGGCGGGAGAGATACATAATAATTTACACATGGAAAATATTAGAGGGGCTGGTCCCAAACCTGCACACAGAAATAACATCACAAGAGATCAGAAGACATGGCAGGATGTGCAGAATACCCCCTTTGAAAAGCAGAGGTGCAACAGGTACTCTGAGAGAGAACTCTATCAACATCAGAGGCCCGAGACTGTTCAACACGCTTCCGCTTCACATAAAGGGCATAAGTGGCTAACCCCTCACAGTGTTTAAGAGAGAACTGGATAAGCACCTCCAAAGGATACCTGATCAACCAGGCTGTGACTCATACGTCAGGCTGCGAGCAGCCGCGTCCAACAGCCTGGTTGATCAGTCCAGCAACCAGGTGGCCTGGTCGACGACCGGGCCGCGGGGACGCTAAGCCCCGGAAGCACCTCAAGGTATTCATTACATCCGAAAATCCACTGCCGCAGGTACTGGAAGCGTATCCGCAAGATAGCGGGTAAGTTCGTTCCCAGTGTCTTGCCGGTCCTTCACCTCCGTGGTACTCTTTTGGCGGACCCGTTGCAAGTTACTACCGAACTGGGTTCCCACTTTTCTTCTGTTAGCTCTGGTTCTAATCTTCCACAATCTTTCCTTCTTCGTAAACCCTCCTTGAATCTCGTCCTTAAGATTTCTGCACTTCGTCTTCCCTATAACGATCCCTTCTCTCTCCCTGAACATCGGTCTGTCCTGACCCTTTGCGGTTCTACGGTGGCGGGCTCCAATGGCATTCATTATGAGATGCTTCGCCATCTCTCTCCGTGTACGTCTCAGTATTGACTGAGTCTGTATAATCGGATCTTGGAGTCGTCGTCAGTCCCTGAGGACTAGCTCGATGCCGTTGTCCTCCCTGTTCGAAAATCAGGGTCTCTGGGGACTTCCCCTAAGGACTTTCGGCCAATTGCCTTCATGAGTTGTGTCTGTAAACTCTTTTCAACGTATGGTAAACGTTCGCCTGATGGGGTTCTTAGAACACTATTACCACCTCTTCCCTTCTCAATTTGGTTTCCGCAAGTGCCGCAGCACAACAGATGTCCTGGTGAACTTGGAGGTCTATATTCGTACTGCTTTTGCTGCGAAGACCTCCGTTGTTGCCGTCCTTTTTGACCTGGAAAAAGGATTACACCATCACTTGGCTATATCATATTCTGTCTCAACCTCATTCTTTTGGCCTTCGTGGTCATCTCCCTCTCTTTCTCCAAAGGTTCCTCTCTCGTCGTTTCTTTCGGGTGAGGTTTGGTACCGCTCTCTCAGGCTCTTTTCAGCAATACGAAGGTGTGCCTCAAGGTAGTGTTCTGAGCATTACTCTTTTTTTTGGTTGCCATTAATGGTCTTCTTTCTTCTCTTCTTCTCCCCTCTCTGTCAACCATTTTACCCTTTGCTGTCGGGGTGATGATGCGCCTCTCCTTCAACGCCGGCTTCAACTTGCGATTGATGCCGTGTCATCTTGGCCCACTAATCATGGCTTCAGGTTCTCTACGTCTAAGACTTGTGCTATGACTTTTGTGCAGAAGAGTGTCGTATATATATATATACACTTCTGCTTCACAGGAGTGTTATATAATATATATATATATATATATATATATATATATATATATATATATATATATATATATATATATATATATATATATATATATATATATATATATATATATGTCGTACCTAGTAGCCAGAACTCACTTCTCAGCCTACTATGCAAGGCCCGATTTGCCTAATAAGCCAAGTTTTCATGAATTAATTGTTTTTCGACTACCTAACCTACCTAACCTAACCTAACCTAACTTTCTCTACTACCTAACCTAACCTAACCTATAAAGATAGGTTAGGTTAGGTTAGGTAGGGTTGGTTAGGTTCGGTCATATATCTATGTTAATTTTAACTCCAATAAAAAAAAATTGACCTCATACATAATGAAATGGGTAGCTTTATCATTTCATAAGAAAAAAAATTGAGAAAAAATAGAAATTCAGGAAAACTTGGCTTATTAGGCAAATCGGGCCTTGCATAGTAGGCTGAGAAGTGCGTTCTGGCTACTAGGTCCGACATATATATATATATATATATATATATATATATATATATATATATATATATATATATATATATATATATATATATATATATATATATATATATATATATGACAGTGTCAGACCACGGTCGAAAATTGAAACAGGAATTTCCTTAACTTTCGTATATTATTAAATCTTCAGAAGGAGTCCTTCTGAAGATGTATTAATATACGAAAGCCCTTAAGGAAATTCCTGTTTCAATTTTCCTCCGTGGTCTGACACTGTCACATTTTTAATCATGTGTTTATTTTCGTGATACACACACACACACACACACACACACACATATATATATATATATATATATATATATATATATATATATATATATATATATATATATATATATATATATATATATATATATATATATAACCAAATAACAAAATTGTTATACTCGCATCGAGCATGATTTAGTTTTTTGTTAAACTCAAACAACAGAGGATTTAGTCTGACAAACTTGGAGGCAGGGCTGGCTGACTGACGTACTGGCTGACTGACGTACTGGCTGACTGACGTACTGGCTGACTGACGTACTGGCTGACTGACGTACTGGCTGACTGACGTACTGGCTGACTGACGTACTGGCTGACTGACGTACTGGCTGACTGTTGGACTCATAGACTGTTTGAGTGATTAACTGAGTGAATGAGTGACTGTAATGTTTTGTTAGCTTGCTCGCTCTGTGAAACAATAGTTTTACTTAAAAAAAATCGTTTATACTGGTGCTGGCTAGCTTCCCTAGGCGGCCCGGAGGAGGGGATTAGGATTTAGACAGGTGACGAAACCTGGCCAGGTGACTATAGGCTGGGGGGGGGAGGGGGGGGGGGTGGAGGAGGAGGAGGGACACGGGGAAGATGTATGTGGTTTGACATGGTGAGGATGACAGGTACAGTTGTGGGTAGCGTGTTGACATGAGAGGGTGTCTGGGAGTGTGGGGAAGGAGTGAGGGGGAATACAACACTAGACTACATCAGTGTGGTTCCCGTCAGGGTAACTCCCTCTGCGAAAGTCCTCTCCTTCAAGATGTGTGCCCAATGTGTCTTAAGTGTTTGGCCCATGTGTTAACAACCCCAGTAAGGAGACATCAGTTTCTGCACATTTAAGTAAACTATATTAGTATTATTATTGCTAATATTATTATTATTATAGTAAAAAAAAGAAATCCTATGAATTAACTATTTTAATTCTCTGGACAAAACATTTTAGGTTTTCGTTCACTCGTTCATATAAATGGAACAGGAAACCCACAATACACTGAACGATCCTTGTGACATTTTTTTTTTTTTTTACAATTTAGTTTTCTTAAATTTTTTAATTTTGTTTCAATACTTTGCAACATTACATCAGTCTTCCCCTTACATCATCCTCATCATCATCATCATTATCATCATACAACGTTCATTAACATATGGATGGGGACACTGACCATGCGACGCCATCTTGGGTTGCAACATGTTGCACAGCTGGTGCCCATGTGGCAACCCATGATGGGCATGCATGGTCTACGTCGTAAATACCCCTACTTGCCAATACCCCGCCCACGCCCTGCACCACCCACACGCCGTCCACGCCCTGCACCACCCAGACGCCGCCCACGCCCTGCACCACCCAGACGCCGCCCACGCCCTGCACCACCCACACGCCGCCCACGCCCTGCACCACCCACACGCCGCCCACGCCCTGCACCACCCACACGCCGCCCACGCCCTGCACCACCCAGACGCCGCCCACGCCCTGCACCACCCACACGCCGCCCACGCCCTGCACCACCCACACGCCGCCCACGCCCTGCACCACCCAGACGCCGCCCACGCCCTGCACCACCCAGACGCCGCCCACGCCCCGCACCACCCAGACGCCGCCCACGCCCTGCACCACCCAGACGCCGCCCACGCCCTGCACCACCCAGACGCCGCCCACACCCTGCACCACCCAGACGCCGCCCACGCCCTGCACCACCCAGACGCCGCCCACACCCTGCACCACTCAGACGCCGCCCACACCCTGCACCACCCAGACGCCGCCCAACCCTGCACCACCCAGACGCCGCCCACGCCCTGCACCACCCAGACGCCGCCCACACCCTGCACCACCCAGACGCCGCCCACGCCCTGCACCACCCAGACGCCGCCCACACCCTGCACCACCCACACGCCGCCCACACCCCATCTCACCCATGCCGCCCACGCCCTGCACCCCCCAGACACCGCCCACACCCCATCTCACCCATGCCGCCCACGCCCTGCACCCCCCAGACACCGCCCACACCCCATCTCACCCATGCCGCCCACGCCCTGCACCCCCCAGACACCGCCCACACCCCATCTCACCCATGCCGCCCACGCCCTGCACCACCCAGACACCGCCCACACCCCATCTCACCCATGCCGCCCACGCCCTGCACCACCCAGACACCGCCCACACCCCATCTCACCCATGCCGCCCACGCCCTGCACCACCCAGACGCCGCCCACGCCCTGCACCACCCAGACGCCGCCCACGCCCTGCACCACCCAGACGCCGCCCACGCCCTGCACCACCCAGACGCCGCCCACGCCCTGCACCCCCCAGACACCGCCCACGCCCTGCACCACCCAGACGCCGCCCACGCCCTGCACCACCCAGACGCCGCCCACGCCCTGCACCACCCAGACGCCGCCCACGCCCTGCACCCCCCAGACACCGCCCACGCCCTGCACCACCCAGACGCCGCCCACGCCCTGCACCACCCAGACGCCGCCCACGCCCTGCACCACCCAGACGCCGCCCACGCCCTGCACCACCCAGACACCGCCCACACCCCATCTCACCCATACCGCCCACGCCCTGCACCACCCAGACGCCGCCCACACCCCATCTCACCCATGCCGCCCACGCCCAGCACCACCCACACACCGCCCACACCCCATCTCACCCATGCCGCCCACGCCCTGCACCACCCAGACGCCGCCCACACCCCATCTCACCCAGGCCGCCCACGCCCTGCACCACCCAGACACCGCCCACACCCCATCTCACCCAGGCCGCCCACGCTACCTCCTGCCAGGAATCTCCTACTTGACTTCAATCGCCGTCATTTCCTGCCAATTTCCCGACATCTTCGAAAGTTGCATGTGTTTGTTGATGTTGGGAGTTGTCCATTGACAGCGCTGCTCTCTCACACTCTGGGCTCCTCCTGCATGTTGCAAGTGGTCCAGTTGCAACGCAGTTTGCTCTCCCCAGCATCTCAAGACGTGAGCCTCGGACTCGTACCCTGAGGCAGCCGCTCCAATGGTCCAGTTTGAGCAAGTCTGGCCTCTCAATAGCCAGGATAAAGTGCACCTTGCAGCACCTTGCAGCACCTTGCAGCACCTTGGAGAGTGACTCGGGGTATTGCTCTATTTCTTGTTTGTTGAACGTTATTTGTAATCATGTGCACCTGGGTGTGAGTGTGCTTGGGTGTGCGTTCATGCGTGCGTCTGTGCGTTCATGCGTGCGTGTGTGCGTTCATGCGTGCGTGTGTGCGTTCATGCGTGAGTATGTGCGTTCATACGTGCGAGTGTGCGTTTATACGTGCGAGTGTGCGTTCATACGTGAGTGTGTGCGTTCATGCGTGCGTGTGTGCGTTCATGCGTGCGTGTTTGATCCGTGCCTCAATGAGCACATGTGTGTACACCTGTCAACAGATCTCTGTACACCTGTCAACAGATCTCTGTACACCTGTCTCCAGATCTCTGTACACCTGTCTCCAAATCTTTGTACACCTGTCGACAGATCTCTGTACACCTGTCGACAGATCTCTGTACACCTGTCGACAGATCTCTGTACACCTGTCGACTGATCTCTGTACACCTATCTACATATCTCTGTACACCTGTCTACAGATCTCTGTACACCTGTCTACAGATCTCTGTACTCCTGTCAACAGATCGCTAAACATCTGTCTCAAGGGGCCACTGAGGACGTTAGGGGGGATCGAGTGCAATAGTTAAATAGGGCTCTAATTGGCCAATTTTCCCTCTGGGTTGAACCAGAGACAAATGACGCTAATTGCTGTGGAGCCACAGACGAGCCGTCGTGATCACGTGCACCAACACACTTGCACTAACACACCTGCAGCAACACTTACCTGCAGCAACACACACCTGCTGCAACACACACCTGGATGTGAGAAAAGCTGTTGGGCCGGATGGAATCTCACCATGGGTATTGAAAGAGTGTGCAGGAGCACTTTGCTTGCCACTCTCCGTAGTGTATAGTAGGTCACTGGAAACGGGAGACCTACCAGAAATATGGAAGACTGCTAATGTAGTACCAATATTTAAAAAGGGTGACAGGCAAGAGGCACTGAACTACAGGCCAGTGTCCTTAACTTGTATACCATGCAAGGTGATGGAGAAGATTGTGAGAAAAAACCTAGTAACACATCTGGAGAGAAGAAACTTCGCGACAACCAATCAACATGGGTTCAGGGAAAGTAAATCTTGCCTTACAGGCTTGATAGAATTCTACGATCAGGTGACAAAGTTTAAGCAAGAAAGAGAAGGATGGGCAGACTGCATTTTTTTGGACTGTCGGAAAACCTTTGACACAGTACCTCATAAAAGGTTGATTCATAAGCTGGAGAAACAGGCAGGAGTAACTGGTAGGGCGCTCCAGTGGATAAGGGAGTACCTAAGCAATAGGAAGCAGAGAGTTACAGTGAGGGGTGAGACCTCAGAATGGCGTGAACTCATCAGTGGAGTCCCACAGGGCTCTGTACTCGGACCTATCCTGTTTCTGATATACGTAAATGATCTCCCAGAGGGTATAGACTCATTCCTCACAATGTTTGCTGACGACGCCAAAATTATGAGAAGGAATAAGACAGAGGAGGACAGCTTGAGGCTTCAAGAAGACCTGGACAAGCTGCAGGAATGGTCGAACAAATGGCTGTTAGTTTAAGCCAAGCAAATGTAATGTAATGAAGATAGGGGTAGGAAGCAGGAGACCAGATACAAGGTATCACTTGGGAGATGAAATACTTCAAGAGTCCGAGAGAGAGAAAGACCTGGGGGTTGATATCACGCCAGACCTGTCCCCTGATGCTCATATCAAGAGGATAACAGCAGCAGCATATGCCAGGTTGGCTAACATAAGAACGGCCTTTAGAAACTTGTGTAAGAAATCTTTCAGAACATTATATACCACATATGTCAGAACAATCCAGGAGTATGCGGCTCCAGCATGGAGTCCATATCTAGTCAAGCATAAGACTAAGCTGGAAAAGGTTCAAAGGTTTGCCACTAGACTAGTACCCGAGCTGAGAGGTATGAGCTACGAGGAGAGACTACGGGAATTGAACCTCACTTCTTTGGAAGACTGAAGAGTTAGGGGGGACATGATCACCACATTCAAGATTCTCAAGGGGATCGACAGGGTTGATAAAGACAGGCTATTTAACACACGGGGCACACGCACAAGGGGACACAGATGGAAACTGAGTGCCCAAATGAGCCACTGAGATATTAAAAGGAACTTTTTTTAGTGTCAGAGTGGTTGACAAATGGAATGCATTAGGCAGTAATGTGGTGGAGGCTGACTCCATACACAGTTTCAAGTGTAGATATGATAGAGCCCAATAGGCTCAGGAACCTGTACACCTGTTGATTGACAGTTGAGAGGCGGGACCAAAGAGCCAGAGCTCAACCCCCGCAAGAACAATTAGGTGAGTACACATTTGCACCAACACACCTGCAACAACACACCTGCACCAACACCTGCACCAACACACTTGCACCAACACACTTGCAACAACACACCTTCACCAACACACTTGCACCAACACACCTGCAACAACACACCTGCAACAACATACCTACACCAACACACCTGCACCAACACACTTGCATCAACACACCTGCACCTACACACGTGCACCAACACCTGCACCAACACACCGTGGTAGAGAACACCTGCACCAATACACCATGGTAGAGAACACCTGCACCAACACCTGCACCAACACACCATGGTAGAGAACACCTGCACCAACACCTGCACCAACACACCATGGTAGAGAACACCTGCACCAACACACCATGGTAGAGAACACCTGCACCAACACACCATGGTAGAGAACACCTGCACCAACACACCATGGTAGAGAACACCTGCACCAACACACCATGGTAGAGAACACCTGCACCAACACACCATGGTAGAGAACACCTGCACGGACACACCTGCAACAACAACACACCTGCAACAACACACTTGCACCTACACACCTGCACCAGCACCTGCACCAACACACCATGGTAGAGAACACCTGCACCAACACACCGTGGTAGAGAACACCTGCACCATCACACCATGGTAGAGAACACCTGCACCAACACCTGCACCAACACACCATGGTAGAGAACACCTGCACCAACACACCATGGTAGAGAACACCTGCACCAACACCTGCACCAACACACCATGGTAGAGAACACCTGCACCAACACACCATGGTAGAGAACACCTGCACGGACACACCTGCAACAACACACTTGCACCTACACACCTGCACCAACACCTGCACCAACACACCATGGTAGAGAACACCTGCACCAACACACCGTGGTAGAGAACACCTCCAACAACAACACCACGGTAGAGAACACCTGCAACAACACACCGTAGTAGAGAACACCTGCAACAATACCTGCACCAACACACAATGGTAGAGAACACCTGCACGGACACACCTGCAACAACAACACACCATGGTAGAGAACACCTGCAACAACAACACACCATGGTAGAGAATACCTGCAACAACAACACACCATGGTAGAGAACACCTGCAACAACAACACACCATAGTAGAGAACACCTGCAATAACACACCATCGTAGAGAACACCTGCATCAACACACCGTGATAGAGAACACCTGCAACAACAACACCGTGGTAGAGAACACCTGCACCAACACCTGCAACAACATACCGTGGTAGAGAACAACTGCACCAACACACCGTGGTAGAGAACACCTGGAACAACACACCGTGGTAGAGAACACCTGCACCAACACCTGGAACAACACACCGTGGTAGAGAACACCTGGAACAACACACCGTGGTAGAGAACACCTGGAACAACACACCGTGGTAGAGAACACCTGCACCAACACCTGGAACAACACACCGTGGTAGTGAACACCTGCACCAACACCTGGAACAACACACCGTGGTAGAGAACATCTGCAACAACACACCGTGGTAGAAAACACCTGCAACAACACACCGTGGTAAAGAACACCTGCACCAACACACCGTGGTAGAAAACACCTGCAACAACACACCGTGGTAAAGAACACCTGCACCAACACACCAAGGTAGAGAACACCTGCACCAACACACCGTGGTAGAGAACACCTGCACCAACACACCGTGGTAGAGAACATCTGCAACAACACACTATGGTAGAGAACACCTGCACCAACACACCGAGGTAGAGAACACCTGCACCAACACACTATGGTAGAGAACACCTGCACCAAAACACCGTGGTAGAGAACACCTGCACCAACACACTATGGTAGAGAACACCTGCACCAACACACCGTGGTAGAGAACACCTGCACCAACACACTACGGTAGAGAACACCTGCAACAACACACCGTGGTAGAAAACACCTGCAACAACACACCGTGGTAGAGAACACCTGCACCAACACACCGTGGTAGAGAACACCTGCACCAACACACCATGGTAGAGAACACCTACACCAACACACCATGGTAGAGAACACCTGCAACAACAACACACTATAGTAGAAAACACCTGCAATAACACACCATCGTAGAGAACACCTGCACCAACACACCGTGATAGAGAACACCTGCAACAACAACACCGTGGTAGAGAACACCTGCAACAACAACACCGTGGTAGAGAACACCTGCACCAACACCTGCAACAACACACCGTGGTAGAGAACAACTGCACCAACACACCGTGGTAGAAAACACCTGCAACAACACACCGTGGTAGAGAACACCTGCACAACACACCATGGTAGAGAACATCTGCAACAACACACCGTGGTAGAAAACACCTGCAACAACACACCGTGGTAAAGAACACCTGCACCAACACACCGTGGTAGAGAACACCTGCACCAACACAACGTGGT